GAAGTCACCATAGGAGATAACACATATGAAGTGGACCAATACACAACGGTCCTTCAATGTTTTTACAAAGTACAGATTACTGGTCATTAAGCAACACCAGATACTTTCTCGATGATAATAAAAGCATAGATAACTAGTAATAAACAGATCCATACTTTCAGATAAATCTGAGAACTCTAAATTGTACATGACTGCGTAGACTTCTCCCCTCTCTCTAACTTATTATGGATACTGTCTGCTAAATGGAAGTTACACTGTCAAACTCCATTTCACAGAGATCATGTTTACAAATGATACAGCTTCAGGTAATTGTTAGTTTATCCCATTATGGAGAAATTCATTCAATATATCATGTTACTCAGGTCTAACTATAATAGTCTATTGCAGGGAAGATTGGTACTAAAAGATTTCAATATAGCAGATGAAGCTGGTAGAGTTGGCAAGCCAATCATTAAAAGCTTTAGTGTAGTTTATGTAACAAGTGGCAATTTAGAAATCCACTTCTATTGGGCTGGGAGAGGTACAGTAGGAATCCCTTATAGAGGAGTTTATGGTCTTTTAGTGCCAGCTATATCTGCGGAACCTGTTAAGTTGAATGTTTGTCTAAGCTCCAATTATTGTTTATGTCTGAAAAAATTGATCTAGTGTTTGGTGTAAGATTAAAGTATCCAATGATGTTATATTGGAACTACCAGATGATTTTAGTAGGATTTAACCCATCCTTCATCTTCTCTTCTTAGTCTTTGATCAATAGGGATGCATTAGGGAAAACAGTAAAATGCAAACAAGATTTCTGTACATATTTTGTTGCTGATCAAATGTGAAAAGGAAATTGAAGAAAGGAACACAAACTTAAAACCAATCATGATTTATTTAGACACGTGGTTTCTTTATGGTCTCTATGGATTGCTTAAGTCAGTCAAGTAGATATAATTCTTTGAAAAGGATTTGCCATCATGATGTTGACTCTATTGACATATGATACATCTTTCGAGAGTCACTTTTTTGATTAGCATGGGATATAGAGGCTTGATTTTTTTTTCCTTTTCTTTTGCAGATTCCAAACCTCCTCCAGAAGGTGGAAAGAAGATATCAGTAGGTTCTGCTGCTGGAATTGTTATATCAACAACCAGTCTTATCTTCTTGGTCCTTGGTGTCCTTTGATGGAAATGCTGTCTTAAATCAAAACCTCGATGCGTCAAGGTTGAAGAAAACCAGTTTTATAAATACTAGTGAACAAATGCGAATATATGAAAAAGTGCTAAAGAATTGTACGCCTACCAATGTACTTTCTTGAAGGAAAGAATCATGGAATTCACCAATATATCGACTGAAGTATTATTCTAGAAGTTTGGTTGTTCATTCATTGAATCTCCAACACAATTTTTTTTTAAAGCCAACACAGTTTATAAAGTTGAAATTAATTAAGACTGCTATAGGAGGCGAAAGAGAGATGCACATGTAAAATAAAACCACTACATTTTTTTCTCTTCCATGTTTTGATTTTTGATCCAACTAATCTCCATTAATGTGGGAACCAACTAATCTCCATTGGTCCTCTTTCAACCCACCCTTGAAAAGATTAAAAACAAATTTTAAAATAGCTGTCAGAATATTTGTTTAGTGCTCATTGGGTGTGGCTACATGGTTTGTCAGGATATATACCAAATCAAACATGGTTTGTCTCCTATTCAACGTTCAAAGTATTGATACATATCAAGCATATTGTATGGTAGGTAGGCTTAATTAAGACCAACCCGCTGTATGATTTTGAAAATAAAAACTAAAATAAGGAGAAAATGCCCTTTAAAACACCCAATGGAATGTTTGTGCATATCTATGGATACTTTGAACCTTGCTTCTACTAAATCTACTCTCTTTTGGCTTTGGTCTATACCAAACTCCTCTTTAAGCTGTGGAAAAACATTGCACTTTAAATCACGTTGAAACCAAGGTGGACCATGGTATCCACCTTTTCCTTTTTTCTTTCCTTTTCCTCCTGTTGATTTTTCAGACCTTAATCGGGTGTCGTGTATTTATCAAAAAAAGATTGATTCTTCGGATCGGATTTGAATTTGGAGCTTTAATAATCGGACCCGATTCTGATGCGATGGGTTTGATCGATCCAATTCCTTCCAGAGTACAGCCCTGCAGTTACAGTCCTTGTAAGAGAGCAAGCTGAAGGCGCCTTACACTATATTTTCTACAATTCACACACTTAAGTACCTCTATTGTAATTTTCAATGCAGAACCGATGTTTCTTTGGAAAACAAGAGGCTTAATCCGGACTAGACCACCCTGTTTTGGTCACTAAAACCGGATAATACAAAATCTTTCCTTATTGCTATGGGAGTGGCTAGTGATGGGCCTGCTGCAGCTCTTATATTGAGCATGTTTTTAAAAACTGCACTTTCACCAAAACAAATTTGGCAGTCGAATGGTGGACTAATTTGTAGAAAAAGACCGGTTTAGAGGGGTCTATGATATATGGGAGGTGTAGCTTCATTTTGTGTCATCTTTGGAAAAATAGAAATGAAAAGATTTTTCAGAATCGACTGTCTCCTCCTTTGATTATTATTAAGTGTGCTCTAAACTCTTATATTGAGTTTATATCTTGCATCTTGTGATGGTAGTGATAATAACTTATGTAGTTAGGAAATTTGGAAGCCAATTTTTTTTGGAAAAGTCCAAGAGAAGAGACTATTAAAATAAATTTTGACGCGTCTGAAAATGACCTTGGTGAATGCTCGATTGCTTATATTGCCAGGAATCACCTAGGTAAAGTTCTTGATGCAAAAGCCTATGGTATTGGTGTGATCATTATAAATGTTGTAGAAGCATGGGTGGTGTGGGAAGTAGGGGTGAGCATTATTCGGTTAAAATCAAAAAACTGAACTAAAAATTTCTGTTTCGGTTTTCAGGTCTAAAAATTCAGTAAACCAAAAAAACCGAATTAGCCAAAACTTTATTATCTATTATATATATATATAAATATAAATATATATATATATATATATTAACATATAATACATATATAATATATATAAAATATATTATATTATGTATTAAAATATATAATTTATTATATACATTGTATAATATATAATACATATTAAAATATACATTATAATATATATATATATATTATTGAAATTTGGTTTTAACTGAAATAACCAAAAACCAAATTGACAATTTCGGTTTCGGTTTCAGTTTTTCATTTAAAATTTTGATTTATTCGATTCAATTTTTAACCAAATAAACCGTTTGCTCACCCCCTAGTGGGAAGCTCTCAATGTTGCCCTTAACTTTAGGAGCCACCCTATCATCATCGAAAGGGACTCCCATGTGGTGATCATGTCCCTTAAGAAGCAGGTCGACATCCCTTGGAGATTGAGGACCATCATCAAAGAGTGCAAGAAGCTGGTTGATTAATTGAGTGTGGTGTATCTTTCTCCGATTTTTTCAGAGAAGCAAACCAAACAGCAGATTAGATGACACATTAGGCTCTCTTCTTTTGAATTCCTCTCCTGTGTATCTCATATATTCCCTCTGAGCTAGTTTCCGTTTGTAAGAGTGACTTCTGGGGTCAAGCTACCCCCATCTTATGTAAAATCTGATTACGAAACAATGCAAGCTCTAGCATCTAGATGATCAGATGGAATGTCGAATGGGATATCAGATTTTTGGAGTTTGGTGATGGATTTTTCTATTACCCACCTCAATGCAGACGTGACTAGGGCTCAGGATTTTGCAATTATAAATTATTACAAATTTATAATTGCAAAATGGCTCTTGTCATTCATGAGAAGACGTTGGCAATACATGACACTGATGACAGTGGTGCATTATATCTATTAGCTAGAGATGTGGGAACAGTTTGTGGTAACAGATCTGGAGGGACATGATTATGGCCTAAAAATTAGTTATTGCAGGGCTGCTGATTGAATTAGTTTTGAAAAATACAAACTTAAGAAAAATGGGTGTGAGAAGGGGGATCAAATTTGTACCTTTTATTTTAAGAAGAATCTATGATGCAAAAAATACATGATACCGGAAACGCCTTAACTAATCAAAACCTATTGTAAAATTGGTGAAAATCTACCTGATTGGTTGCTACTGTTATGATAGCAGTTAGACCTGTTCATGGGCTGGGTAGCCTGATGGCCCGGCCTGGCCCACGGGCCTGACCTCGGGCCTAACACAGTAAGTTCGACTGTGTTTTGGGCCGGGTTCAGGATTTGTCAAAAAAGCTCAGCCTGACTCAGCATTATATATTTTACAAAATATATAATATGTATTTTATATATTATATAAAATATGCAAATAATAAAATATATATTTATAATTTAATATATACATTTTTTTATTCTTTTCTTTATAATTTCTCTCTCTCTCTCTATTCAGCCGCTTCAGCAGTAGTAATAGTATGGGCTAAATTTCAGGCTCGGGCTCGAGCCTTAGAAAAATCTGTTAATATAGAGTGAAAGCCCGGCCCGAGCCCAGCCCATGAACAGGTCTAATACTAGTTAATTGGTTATAAATTTTTTCGATATAACGTCTTTCCCACATCATATTTGAAACCTTTATTTTATTTTATTTATTTTTATGATTTATATATATTTTATGTTTATGTGTAAGAAAATTGGATTTTGTCCAGACAAAAGCAAGATTTTTAAAACCGAATCGAACAATGAACCGGTCAGGGGTCTGATTCATGGGTTGAACGGTCAAATCGTTTAAACTAAACGAATGACCCATTCTAACAAAAAAATTAAAAAATTAAAAAATAACCAAAACTTTGAACGGATTGAACAGTTTGACCGCCAGCAATATAATGACCAAATCAACGGTTTTTTGGCGAAATAAGGTTCTGGATAAAACGGAACCTATCATCTAACTGATTCCCGGTTTTCCAATCCGGTCCGATTTTAAAAACCATGCACAAAAGTCGTCCTACCGTCCTCACAACATTTCAGCCATATCCATCGGAAAATCCTCCCATGAATGAAAATATGCAAATAGGGAGATGTTTCCAATGGATGGTTGCAAATGGTGTGGGGAGTGAAGAAGACGTTTAAGTTACTTTTTGAGAGAGGCGTGAGAAACCCGGTTTCATGTTCTACCCGTCGATGAATTAGTGGATGCCCAGAATCAATGTGAAGAGACGTACAGCCGCCGAAAATGACGAGACTTCACATTTTTCTTCGAATCGGTAGCCTAAGCTTGCATGGAATCAATCATCAAGAGTCAGTCGACACTCGACAGTGGGTATAGAAAAAAGTAGGGGTAAAGCAATCCGAGGTTGGCTGATTGCCTGTGATTGTTGTAGGACCCGAATCCGCACCACAAAAATCCCACCAGATTTCCTCTTTCTGCTTCTCTGCAATTAGCTCCCGTCAGGACTCGGGAAGATCATCCTTTACTCTGGTTCTTGGGCATGTCCGAGGGAGAAGATTTCGAAACCTGACGAGACATGGCAAGTTCATCCATGATTTGGGTTATTGGATTCAGTCTCTTGTTATTGTCAGCGTTCAGATTCGGAGCCGCTCAGCCTAGTGCCGCCACCCTCGTGTCTGATGAAGGTAAGATCACACTTCTTCTACTCACTGTTTGATTATATTCAGAGAGGGAGAGATGTTCTTAATTAGTTTCTTGGAGCTTTTGTTCTGATTTTGGGTTTTGAATAATCTTCGAAGGCTCGAAGCTATCTCTCTGTGTTTGTTTAAATGTATGACAGTGGTGGCTCTGAGGGAAATAGCGAAGAGGTTGGGGAAGAGGGAGTGGGATTTCAGCGTGGATCCATGTAGCGGCCAATCGGGATGGACGACGCCTGGGGCGCCGTATACACAGCAGAACACCGTCGCCTGCGATTGTTCCTTCGCCAACAAGTACAACACTACCAGCTGCCATGTCACTAGAATGTATGTCTTTCCATCTTTTTATCTTATCTTGGAGTTCAAATATGAACTAATATTCAAATTCAGATTTCAACTAATCAGTTAAAAGCTCACTTGTACATTTAGGGTCTGTTTGGTTCGAGGGAATAGGACCCTGGAGTCAGAATCGGAATGGGTCATTACGTTTTTGGATGTTTGGTTGATCGGAATGGGAATGAGTAGGTGGAATGCCATTCCTCCTCCGGAATGCGAAGAATCCCTTTAACCTCCATACTATTCTTTGTCGTTGCCGCCTCCTCCTCCTCTTCCTCCTCCTCCTCCTCCTCTTCCTCCAAATCAACTACCACTCTTCTTGTTGTCTGTGTTTTTTGCTCGAGCTTTTGCTTCTACTTCTATTCTGCTCCATTTGCAACTGCAACTCATATGTTCGAGTTTTTCTTGCTGTCTGCATCGTCTACTCGAGCTTTTGCTTCTGCTCCCTCTACAACTGCAACTCATCTATTCGAGCTTTTCTTGCTGTTTGTGTCGTCTCCCTTCCCGTTCCAAACAGATGCAATGCAGCACAGGTATTAGAAGAAACATATACTAGAGAGAGAGAGAAGTTGTGTATGACGAGTGTGCTTTATGTGTCAATGTGTGTACGAAGAAAAGCTCACTCTTCTAAGAAGGCTACTCTATGCTCTTCTAAGAAGGCTACTCTATTCTTCTGGGTAGGGCTGTTCATAAGAAGACCCAACCCGACCAAATCGACCAACTCGAGTCGGCTGGATTTTCTTCAGTACCGGTCGGTTTCGAGTTATAAAATATCATAAACCGACCCGAACCGAACCGGCTTAGTAGTTAGTTCCTATTTAGTAGTTACAACCTACTTAATTCCTACTTAACTAAGTTGTCTATATCCTAGTTACAACCTAACTTAATTTCTAGCCTTCTAGTTAGGAATCACATTAATGGTAAGTATTGTAAGACAACTAGACAAGGAATTTTTTTGGAAAAGTTTAAAGAAAAGAATCAAAGAATCCTAGTTTCTATGGTCTTTTACAACAGATAGGCAATCAATTACAATTAGAATTAGGTGTCCTTTTTTACTTAGATTATAAGGTTTCTTGAAATATACAAATTTCAGTCTTCTTTCTCTAATACAGTTTGACTTTCTATTTTCTTGATAACTTCTATTCTAACTTGGTCCGCCTCCCTTCTTCTGGGTTTTTTTGTTCGTACGTGATAGCGTCTCTTCATTATTTCAGTATCCACCTGCCCTTTCTTCTTTTTTAGTGAGATTGCCCCACTCAAATCCCTATGTCTGATCTTATACATGCATCATGAGCTTCCCCACAAAGTGGGCCTCTGTTCTACTCATTTCACCCACTTTTAAAAGATTAGAAAATACAAAGACAATAATAAAGTGAGCCTCTGTTCTGCTCGTTTCACCCACTTTTAAAAGATTAGAAAAACAAAGATAATAGAAATTATTGTAATTTGTGCATTTTTTTATACAAAAATTTTACTTTTTTTGTAATTTCTACAAAATTTGAGTATTTTCATGCATTTTTTTGAATTTTTTATAAAATTATTATAATTTCTGTATTTTTCCTACAAAATTTCTGCATTTTTTGGTATTTTCATGCATTTTCTGAATTTTTTTATTTTTATTAGAGGCAAAATTGGAAATCATGGTTGATTCCGATTCCAGCCTCTTCATGAACCAAGCAGCATCAATCGGAATCTGATCCTGATTCCTGACTGAACCAAACAGGTAGTGGGAATAGACCATTCCGATTCTGATTCCAAGAGATTCTGATTTCAGTTCTGACCACGAACCAAACAGACCCTTAATAAGAATGGTGTCTTCCCAACATGGGCAGTACTAATTAAATTTACAAGCATTCCCTATTTAACAACTCAAACATCGTGGGGTCTCACTTTTATGGTGAATCTAGTCTCATCATGGTGAAATATGCGGTATAGTCAACCCAGGTAGGGTGTTGGAATGATTTCAAAACACATGAAGTTCAAAATATTGATACATCTGATACATAGGTAGGGGCGTATTGGGCCATATCAGTATTTTGTTTTATATATTTTTTTATTTTTTTGAAAACCAGTTAAGGGGGTCAATTTAAAGTTTTTCCACCCTCTGAACCGGTCAGAACCCTAATACACCCCCTATAGGGGAGTATTGGGAAATTCCCGAAATGATACATATTGGTCGATACATGTCGATACCTTGAATCCTTGGATCAGACATCAAGTGCATATAAATTGAGATTTGGTCCACACAAAGTGTTCCTTACAACAGGCTCCTGAAACATCCCACAAAGTGTTCCTTAGCAGCGGCAATGATAGGGGAGGAAAAACAGGGAAGGTGAGGTTGAAGGAGAGAGAGAGAACTCCAACCAAATGCATCGACATCATTGAACTGTTGAACTCGTTGTTGATTGATCGAATATAAAATCAGGCTCTATGTGAATATAAATAGAGAAATTTCTCTCTCGTTCTCGCTGATTGCCCGCCTCCACCGCTGCCCGTTTCTTCCACTATCAATCATCTGTGCTACCAACCAAGGAGCACAAATGCACAATAAAAGTAGAGACCTCTGCTGGAAGACCTGAGGAAGAAGAAAAAATAATGGGTTAAAGATGCTTCTGCAACTTGAACAAAAATGCTTTGATTTCTACGGGAGAAAGGCAAATAAAGCTAGCAATCGTTCTTTTGTTGTGATCAATATTGTAGTAAATAGAACTAGCGGAGGAACCCTGCTTCACAGGGGCTGGAATGGAACGTCGATTCGGTCTTTGGCAAAAAAATGTTGAATCGGTCAATGATTCATTGATTCGAGTAGTCGAATCGTTGACCCGTTGACCCGTTGACCTGTTCAATGGTTTTTGGCCATTTTTTTTTATTTTTTTCATTGGGAACATCCAAGCAACCGGTTCCATTTTATCCTAATCTCGGTCCCTAGCCAAAAATCATTAAATCGGTCAACAACCCATTGACCTAGGCGGTTGAACCGTTGACTTGTTCAATGATTTTTGGTTTTTTCTTTTTTTAATTTTTGTTGTCAGAATAGGCCATCCGTTTGAACCGAACAATCGAACCGTTGACCTAAAAATCGGTAGCTAGAACGGTTCCGCCTTCAGGTCATATGAGTCACACGCTCAAATGACATAACACGTATGGTATTGCTTAATGGACCTCAGATACTCAATTTTTTGCCTGTAATTTTTTTTTGTTAGAACAGGTTGTTCGTTTTTTTTTTTTTTTTTAATTGGGTATATCCAGGCAGCCAGTTCTGTTTTACCCCAATCCCAGTCCCTAGCCAAAAACTATTGAATCAATCAACGACCCATTGACCTGAGTGGTCGAAACATTAACCCATTGACCCATTCAATGGTTTTTTGGCCATTTTTTTAATTTTTGTTGTTACAATTGGCCATCTGTTCAAACCGGATGGTCGAACCATCAACCCAAAAACCGATGGCCAGAACGATTCCATTTTCGGGTCGTATGAGTCACACGCTCGAATGACATAACACGTATGGTACTGCTTAATGGACCTCACACACACAATTTTTTGCTTGTAATTTTTGTTGTTAGAATGGGTCGTTCGTTCGAATTGGACGATTGAACCGTCGACCCGAAATCGGTGGCCAGAATGGTTCCATAATTTTTTGCGTATAATTTTTTGTTGTTAGAATGGGCTGTCCGTTCGAATCAAACAGTCGAACCGTCGACCCAAAAACTAGTGGCCATAACGGTTCTGTTTTCGGATTGTATGAGTTACACACTCAAATGACATAACACGTATGATACTATTTAATGGACCTCACAAACTCAATTTTTTGCCTATAATTTTTGTTGTCAGAACGGACCGTCCGTTCGAATCGGATGATCGAATCGTCAACTTGAAAACCGGTGGCTAGAATGGTTCCTTAATTTTTTGCTTATAATTTTTGTTGTCAAAACAGGCCATTCGTTCGAACAGGACGATGGAACCGTCGGTTGTCAGAATGTTATTAACAACATTTATCAATAATAGTAAGTAATTATACTATTTAATTAAATAATCATTAGTGATAGTTTTAATAATATTATTTAGTTATTTTTAATATAAAAGTAAATATTAAATTTATTAAATTAATAATTACCAAAATTAAATTAAATTAACAGTATTTATCAATAGTAGTAATTATAATATTTTATTAAATAATCAATAACAATACTTTTAATTATTTTTAATATAACAATAATTAATAAATGTATTAATAGTATTTATTAATAAAAATATTTATAATTTTAATTTAAAGTAAAATTAAAGTAAATATCTATTTATTAACAATGTTTATAATAACAGTAATTATTAATTATAATCACATTATATATTTATTAAATTACTGTAATAATCAGTAATTTATAACAGTATTTATAATTTTAAAGTAAATACTAGTTATTAACAATATTTATAATAACAGTAATTATTAATTATAATCACTAATTATATCTTTATTAAATTACTGTAGTAATCAGTAATTTATAACAGTATTTATAATTTTAAAGTAAATATCTATTAATTAACATTATTTATAATAATATTAATTATTAATTATAATCACTAATTATATATTTATTAAATTACTGTAATAATCAGTAACAGTAATTACTGTTATTTATAATAGTAATTAATAACTGTTATAATAATAATAATAATTTAAATAACAGTAATTTATAACAGTAATTACTGTTATTGTAATTAATAAGATAGGGGTGCTCTCACGTGGTAATCTACTCGCACGAGTAGATTCCATTTGCTGCATGGAGAGAGCATTCCATTTCCTTCAATTCCAGAGACGAGGTAGCTCTCTCTCTCACTTCCCCTTCGTCTATTACAGCAACCACGGTAGCTGCCGCCACCGCCATAACCACCACCACCATGGGCTGGGTATCGCAGGAGGGAGGGCGGAACCACCCTTAAACAGTCAGTTTCTTTCCCATCTATCTTGATCATGTAGAGGGGGGAGGCTCTTGCGGAAGCTCTGCTCGCCTGTTACAGTATTTCACCACCGTCACAGCAACCACTGTAGTTGCCGCCACCGCCACAACCACCACCACCATGGACTGGGAATCTCAGGAGGGAGGGCGGCACCACCGCCATAACCACCACCACCGACCCAGACTGATTCACCACAAACCTCGTTATAGCTGATTTGTCATTGTTCTCGAACGCATAATACACTTTCTCCGCATCAAAGATGAAGATGGGATTGAAAACTGAGTTTTTCCTCATAAAGCCACCACCAAATCCCACCCCATCCCATGGCCCACTTCGATATTGAACATCTCCTGACTCTCCACCCTTGCGTAGGAGCAGCTGAGGAAGACCACGAATATCTAGTTTGTAAGTGAAATCTCCCGTGGAAGGGTCCTCTACAGTCTTCCAGGATGTTAAGTACCAGCTATCGCCAGTTTTAAAGTTCAATCCTAACTTCATTCCTGGCATCAATGTATCGGACGGATAATCAAAGCTCTGCCATAAATAGCTTTCTGAATCATCACCACTCTCATCTCTTAGAACAAGATTTTCAGAGTCTAAGAGATGTGCAATTGGGATCTTGGCTGCTCTGGACGAAATCGAGGACCATACAATGCTCCCTGTCTTGTTGAGGAGTACAAGATTTCCATCATCTCCGATCTTTAGAACTCCGAAGGAATCTGTAAGTGGCGGGTTGTCTCTGTTTGCAACCCAAACTATTGTAGGAAGAGGGATGTTCTTGTACCATATCC